TTTTTGGGTGCCAGGAGTCGAACTCAGGACCTTGCGCTTGCCAGGCAGGCACTTGTGCTGCTGAGCTATATCCCAGCCCTAAGATCTGCATTTGTAGCCCTAGCTTTTTCACAAATGATAGACTCAGATGGGCTATAACCTGCCATCAGCTTTTTTGTTTATCCACACGAGTAATAGCTTTTCTACCTCATCTAACACTGTTAATTGTGACTTAATAATTTGAGTAACACCTTTAGCAACTCTAGCTTCCTTATATAAATCTTTTCTCTGTAAGATTGTTGAGATAGTAGATTTTGACATGCTGTTCATATTTGTGAGTTCAGTCATACAAATGCTCTCATATTTCTCTATAATTTTCTTCTTTTCAATTGTGATTGATTTCTTTGCCTTCCCTTTCTTCCTTAGCTTCTATTCTAGCTTTTTTGTGGCCATTTGGATAGTAATTGTAGCAATTATATGAAGCACTGACAAAAGATCACATCTACACACACACACATCTGGGCTCAGAATAATGCTTACATATGCTTTTCTGGCATCTTGAGTCTTTGTTTTAAACGGCACAAGTGGCTGGCATTCGTGTTGTAACTTTAGATTTGGTTGAAAGTTAAATCTAAAATTCTCGTTGTAACCCAAGTTGTTGCCGTGTGAGGCTGGTCGTAACTTGAGGGTCCACTGTATCCACTTTCTGGAGTACTACCAGCCATTAGGCCTAACTAAGCAGTTATGAAAATTGTGAGAACAATATCAGTGATAACCCTGTGATTCATTTGTGTAGTTTTTGAAGAGTTTGTTTTGTTTTCTAGGTTGCTGAGGCAGAAGATTGTTACAATACAGCTCTCCGTTTGTGCCCCACTCATGCTGACTCTCTCAATAATCTAGCCAATATCAAACGAGAACAGGGAAATATTGAAGAGGCAGTTCGTTTGTATCGTAAAGCATTAGAAGTATGTTGAGGGTGGTGTGGCTGGGTATTTAGCCTGTGTGACGATAGAGGGAAAGCAGTTCGGTTTACCATGCCATCCACGTCTTTTGTGAAAGATAGTAGGTGAATCATTTAAAAGAAAATTGTTTAGTGAACCCATAATTGAGTATCTGAGATACATGTGAGGTCCTGTGTGATTGAAGAAAATCCTTAAATTTGGAGTTCATTATTTTATGGATAGATAAGATCTGTTCAGAAAAATCAAACAGTAAGCTACTGTTGCTTATTGATGCTTATTGTAACGTGGCTCATTGCCTGCAGGTAAAGAATAACAGGCCAGTAATTGGTTTTCAGTATTGTAGTCACTTTTAATCCAAGCCTAAATAGAGAGTGCTTTTGAAGAGAAGTTGAAGAGAACTTACCACGGAGTGTATACAGTAATTGGAACGTATCATGACTGTGTGATGGTTAACAGGTGTGGTAGGAGTTTAGAAGAAAGAAGTTTCAGTGGTGCCAGGGCGGTCAGCAGAAACTAAGAAAAGAAATGCCTCATGTTTGAAACAGAGAATTAGAAAATAGATAAAAGAGGTAGAATTTGAGCTACTAGGCCTTTAATAAGTAGACTTGAAAAGACAGGAGTTGAGGGGTATTCGAGCAAAGATCTTAGGGTTATAGGAAATTAGTGCTGTTGGTAGGTTTTTTTTAATTTTGGTTATGATCTTGACTCTTTATAGGTCTTCCCAGAGTTTGCTGCTGCGCATTCCAATTTAGCAAGTGTATTACAACAGCAGGGCAAACTGCAGGAAGCTTTAATGCATTATAAGGAAGCTATTCGGTAAGAAATTCACAGCCTGTTTTCTTTTTAACTGTTTTTTGATTTTAGGGTAAAATGGCTTTTAATAACAACAAAACAAACTGAAAGTTTGTGTTAGATAAGTAGAACTTGTGTCTTCTCCTTCAGAATAAGTCCTACCTTTGCCGATGCCTATTCTAACATGGGAAACACTCTTAAGGAGATGCAGGATGTTCAGGGAGCCTTGCAGTGTTATACTCGTGCCATCCAGATTAACCCGGCCTTTGCAGATGCGCACAGCAACCTGGCCTCCATTCACAAGGTAGTGCTGCTTCCTATGATGTGTGCCATCTTACCATGGGATATTTAATTTTAGAAAACCTCTTACCACTCCGCTTTATTTATTTTTAGGATTCAGGGAATATTCCAGAAGCAATAGCTTCTTACCGCACGGCTCTGAAACTTAAGCCTGATTTTCCTGATGCTTATTGTAACTTGGCTCATTGCCTACAGGTAAAGAATAACAGACCAATAATTGGCTTTTAGTGTTGTAATCACTTTTTAACTGTTACGTGCTATAATAATCCAAGCAGAAAGAGATAGTGTTTTTGGTTTTGTTCAGTTTGGTTTGGATTTGTAACTAGGGATTGAATGTAGGGCCTTTATACTGAGCTACATCCCAACCCTTTTCAATTTTTATTTATTTTCAGATTTTTACTTATTTTGGTTTTTTGAGAGTGAGTCTAGCTATGTAGTTAAGACTGACCTCAAACTCACTATGTAGTCCAGTCTAGTCTTGAAATTGCAGTGATCCTCCTGAGTGCTGGGATTACAGGCATGCACCACAATGCCCAGCTTTAATTTTTGTTTTTATTGGTACATGTCAGCAGTACATAGTATTTCTCATGGAGAGTTGATACATGTAATTCACTTTTTTGGGTGGGGGGTCTTTTTGAGACAGTCTTGCTATGCAGTTCAGGCTGGCCTTGAGCTTACTTTGTACCTGAGGCTGGCCTCGAACTCACAACGATCCTCCTGCCTCAGCCTCCCAAGTTCTGGAATTACAGGCGTGCGCTACCATGCCCAGCTTGTAATTCACTTTTTTTTTGTTGTTCTTTTTTAGACAGGGTCTCATTATGCAGTTCAGGCTGGCCTTGAGCTCACTTTGTAGCCCAGGCTAACCTCTAACATGGCAACAATTCTCCTGCCTCAGCCCCCCAAGTGCTGGGATTACAGGGGTGTGCCACCACGCCGGGCATGTAATTCATTTTTAACTCCTTCCCTTCCTCCATCTCTTGGTCCCTTTCCCTTTTGAAAAAGATCTATCTCCTTATTTCTTACTACCTTTTACTCTTTATATTTTGCCTTTCACATAGAAGAGAAACCATGCAATATTTAAACTCGTGTGTCTGATTTATTTGATTTAATATTATGTTCTCAAGGTGTATCCATTATCCTACAAATGACTCAAGTTTTTCCTTTAAAAGTTATGGAATGCTTCATGAATTTGCATGTCATGGTTGTGCAGGGGTGATGCTAACCGTCTTTTTTTTTGTTTGTTTTTTTTCTCCGGTACCGGGAACCGAACTCACGACCTTGCGCTTGCCGGGCAGGCGCTTTTGCTGCTGAGCTAAATCCCCAGCCCCTAACGGTCTTGATATTCTAGTTTTGGCATATGTGCTGCCAAGGCAAACACTTATTTTTGATTTTGAGGCGGGGTTTTGCTGTTTCCTTGGACTTGAATATGGCAATCTTCCTGCCTTAGCCTCCTGAGTGCTGGGATTACACGTGTGCGCCACCATGCCTGGCTGAAATGGTGTTTTTAATAGGTTATCTGACATTATTTTAGATTAAAGATATACAAAATATTAAATGCTGGGATACCATTTTCTAGATAATAACTTTTGTTTTCTTCTAGATTGTCTGTGATTGGACAGACTATGATGAGCGAATGAAGAAGTTGGTCAGTATTGTGGCTGACCAATTAGAGAAGAACAGATTACCTTCTGTGCATCCTCATCACAGTATGCTATATCCTCTTTCTCATGGCTTCAGGAAGGCTATTGCTGAGAGACATGGGAACCTTTGTTTGGATAAGGTGTGATTTTTGTTTTAGTCCTTTTGTTGTAAACTAAATCACAGATGAAGAATACTATCTATGTAAAGCAAATATATGGCTTAGTGAATTATCATAAAGTGTTCATCACCCAAGTTGAGCAGTGAAATTTTGTCAGCCCCCTCAGAAGTCCCTTCCATTGTACCTGTCTTGAGCATAATCCCTTCCATTTTATTTTATTTTTCTTTTGAGACAGGGTCTCACTATACAGTTCAGACTGGCCTTGAACTCACTTTGTAGCCCAAACTGGCCTGAAACTCAGTGGCTATCCTCCTGCCTCAGCCCCCGAGTGTTGGGATTATAGGCGTGCGCCGCCACGCGTGGCTCCTTTCCACTTTATAGGGTGCAGTTCTTCACTTAAACACTTAACAGATAAGTGATGATGTTTTCCTTTAGATTGAAAACTAATGTTTAACCAAGTGTGGTATTTTGTATTCATATTTGAGAATTAGAGCACTCCGTCAAAGGTTGGAATTTTTTCTGGAGAGTAGATTCAAGTGCTAGGCATTATTTTGGTTTTTAAAAGATTCTTCCCTGACAGAATTTTCCAAAATGCTATAAGGGCTTTCATGTTCTATCTACATTTCTACGAGTTTTAGATTTACTCAGACTACTTCATGCGATTTAGAAATAGGTCAAGTGTAAAGCATATTGTACAAACTGCTTAAATTCTGTCAGACTGGCTGTGTGAGTTAAATGAAGTGTTCTGGGCAAAGCTTTCTCAACAAGTACGAGGTGCAGATTTGGTTTATTTTTAGTTTTTTTTTTTCTTTTTCTTTTTTCTTTTTCAGTCTTTTTGAGATAGGGTCTTGCTGTGCAGTTCAGGCTGGCCTTGAGCTCATTTTGTAGCCCAGGCGGGTCTCGAACTTGCAATGATCCTTCTACCTCAGCCTCCTGAGTGCTGGGATTACAGGCATGTGCCACCACGCCCAGCTGTTTTTAGTTTCCTTGGATGAAAATTTACATGTAGATTCAGCTTTACTAATGAGTGTTGAATTCTGTTGATAGATTAATGTCCTTCATAAACCACCATATGAACATCCAAAAGATTTGAAGCTCAGTGATGGTCGACTGCGTGTAGGATATGTGAGTTCTGACTTTGGAAATCATCCTACTTCTCACCTTATGCAGTCTATTCCAGGCATGCACAATCCTGATAAATTTGAGGTAAGACTAGTGTCCCTCTAGAGAGAATCGCTATATGTTTTAAAAAAATACCTGCAGTGGTAGCTTTCTTGTCATTTTAAATGTTAAACCCAACGTCTTTTGGAAGAAACTTGAACCAAGTTTATTAAATACACTCTGTGCTGCCTTACAGGTATTCTGTTATGCCCTGAGTCCAGATGATGGTACCAACTTCCGAGTGAAGGTAATGGCTGAAGCCAATCATTTCATTGATCTTTCTCAGGTAGGTGAAACTCTCATACTTCCAACTTTTTATTTTGAGTAAAACCATTGGTGTATAGTTTTTGTTTTTGTGCTGGGGGTTGAACTTATGACCTTCACATATTTTTTTTCAACATGTTAATGTATTTGGTGGGTTTTGTGTTGTTTTTCGCTATATGGTTCAAGCTGGCCTCAAACCTGGCTGTGATCCTCCTGGCTCAGCCTCTCAAGTGCTGGGATTACAGGTGTGCAGCAGCACAGTTGGCTGTAGTTTGTGTTTTTTATCATAGCTATAAACATGAACTACTACATTTTGGCAGTTGCTTTCATCTTATTTCCTTGGTTATTTACATTTATAATTGCCATGTCTTTTACTGAGGTTGGAGGTAAAACAGAAATGTGATATATTTGAGCCTGTCATGTTGTGGCACATGCCTGTAATTCCAGCACTCTGAGAGGCTGAGGCAGGAAGGTCACAAGTTCATGCTCAGCATGAATTTAGCAAGGCCGTGTCACCAAAAAAAAAAAAAAAAAGGAAAGGCTAGACATGTAGCTCGGTGTGAAGGTCCTGGGTTCAATCCACAGTAACACACCCAGAGATGCGTGCATGCACACCTGCACCTGCCCATCCCAAAAGGAAAAGTGCTGTATTTGTGCTTGAGTGTATATCTCTTATTGGGATTGTGCCAGTGCTTGTTACTTAATAAATATTAACAGCAAATTAAACAAAATGAAGAGCAGTTGGGCCTTAAAGAAAATAGGTGACCTATGGTTCTTTGCTCTTGGTTGTTTTTATTTCTTTTTTTTGTTTTGCTTTTTGAGACAGGGTCTCGCTATGCAAGTCAGGCTGGCCTTGAAGTTACTTTGTAGCCCAGGCTGGCTTTGTACTTTCAGTGATCCTCCTGCCTCAGCCTCCCGAGTGCTGGGATTGCAGGTGTTTGTCACCATGCTGGGCTGGTTGTGTTTATTTCTGTACTTGCTGTATTGTTCTTTTCTCTGTTTTTTTTTTTTTCTTTGAAAATTCTGTTTTTTTGTTTTTTTGGTCTTTTTGAGACAGGGTCTTGCCATGCAGTTCCTTGAGCTCACTTTGTTGCCCAGGCTGGTCTCAAACTTGCAAGGATCCTCCTGCCTCAGCCTCCTGAGTGCCAGGATTACAGGTGTGCGCCACCACGCCCAGCTTCATTTGTTTAAAAAAAAAAGTATAAACATTTCAGTCATCCCTGGGTCAAACTTTTAGGGACAACTTGACTGAGCTGCTTTGGCTCAAGATCTTTTTTTCTCCATTTTTATTAGTATATGTTTGCAATACATAGTAAATACATTGATTATGAGGTAAGTGGCACATACACATATCCCCCCCCCGCCCCCCCCATACCGGGAATTGAACTCACAAGGTCGCGCTTGCCAGGAAGGAGCTGTGTGGCTGACCTAAATCCCCAGCCCCTACATATTGCATCTTAATCTTTTTTTACTTCTCCTGCTTTCTCATCTCCAGATTCCTTTTTTATCCCTTCCAAAGTGCCAGATCTTTGATTCATTGATCCTCTGTATTGTTTTTATTTTTGTCTCAAGTTTATTTAATTGATGTTTTGATCTTTTACAATTTTTTGTTGTTGGTCTTCTTGAGACAGGGTCTCGCTGTGCAGTTCAGGCTGGCCTTGAGCTCACTTTGTAGCCCAGGCTGGTCTCGAACTCACAACAATCCTGCTCCCTCAGCCTCCCGAGTGCTGGGATTACAGGTGTGCACCACCACACCTGGCTGTCTGTCTTCTTTAAAGTTCAGTAATTTTTGTTTTATGAGATTGGATGTGTAGCATTTGATGTCTGTTTAGTAGTAGTCTCTCTTCCTGTTGAATTATTCCCTTTACCAGTGTATAGTAGCTATTTTTGTTTCTTCTGATCAGTTTTGACTTGAAGTCAGTGTGTCTGAAAATGAAATAACTACTCCTGCTTGTTTTGGGGCTCTGGTGAATGGTTATTTTTTCTCATCCTTTCACTTTTGATCTGCACTTCCTTTTGGATGAGTTTTGTCTTCTATAAGCAATATGGTTCCATTTTGTTTTTGGAACCAATCTGCCAGTCTTTGTATTTTGATTAATGGGCTGAGAATAGTGACTTCAGTGATACAAACAGCCTACTCTGCAGCACATGTGCTGTAGATTTACCACCACTGCTGTAGGGTGCTAAATTCTGTCATTGCATTATTTTTCCAGTGCTTATTCCTTTATTTTTTTCCTTTTGTTTAACTGCTCTCCCAATTTTATATATATATATATATATATACACATACACACACACACACATACATACATACATACATACATACGTATATATTCTTTCTGTTGGGTTCTTTGTTGCTGGTGGCCTCCCCCTGTCTCTCTGTCTAGGAGTCCCTAAAGTACTTTCTGAAATCCTGGCTTAGTGGGCATGTATTTCTTTAGGATTTCTTTGTCGTGAAAAGTCTTTACTTATTTAATTTTAAAGGCTAATTTTTCAGGATTTAAGAGTCTAGCTCGGCAATTGTTCTCTTTTGAGGCTTGGAAAATTTTACTCCCAAGTTTTCCTGGCCTTTAAGGTTTATGCTTTGAAATCTGCAATTATTTTGACAGACTTGCCTTTATAGGTTACTTCGTGTTTTTCTCGAAGAGCTTTTGATATTCTCTCTTTTTGTTGAGTTTCTGGAATTTTGATTATGATGTGTCCTGGATATTTGGGATTCCATATACACTTGTACTTGATTTTTTTTTTTTAAATTTTTGTTTTTTTGACACAGTCTTGCTGTATAGCCCAGGTTGGCTTCAAACTTTTGGTGACCCTCCTGCCTCAGCCTCTTCAGTGCTGAGATTAAAGACATGTAACACCATACCTGGCTGTATTCGAATGTTGAATTCACCCCCTAGATTTGGAAAATGTTCTGCTATGATTTTTTGTTTGTTTGTTTGTTTTGGGGTTTTTGTTGTTTTTGTTTTATTTTGGTCTTTTTGAGACAGGGTTTCACTATGCAGTTTAGGCTGGCTTTGAAGTCACTTTGTAGTCCAGGCTGACCTCCACAGCAGTCCTCCTGCCTCAGCCTCCCAAGTGTTGGGATTACAGGCGAGTACCACATGCTTGGTTTGGTTTTTTTGTTTTTTGGAGGGGAGACAGGTTTTACTGTGTAGTTCAGGTTGGCCTTGAACTCACTAGCTCAGGTTGACTCCTGACTTGTGACAATCTTCCTGTCTCAGCCTCCCAAGTGTTGTGTTACAGGTATGTGCTATCACGCTTTGTTCTGCTGTGATTTCAGTGAATAAATGTTTTATACCTTTTGAGTGTCTTCATTTTTTCCTTTATTATAATTCTTAGGTTGGTTTTGTTTATTTTTGAGTCATGCAGCAGCTGTTGGATTCAGCTTGCATGGTCTCTTGTCATTTTTAGCGTATCAATGAGTTTATGATCTGTTTATATCTACCTTGACTTATATTTGTTTGTTTGAGACAGGGTTTCACTATGTACTGTGGGCTGGTCTTGAACTCATGGTGATTCTCCTGCCTCAGCCTCCCAAGTGCTGGGATTATAGTGGTGCACCATCATGCCTAGCTTTTGGCTTCTATGTCTGACACTCGTCGCTGTGCCCAAGTCTGCTACCCATGAGTTCCATTGAATTTTTTGTATCATGTATTTCTGCTTTTTTTTCCCTTTTTCATGCTTTCTAGATGTTTTCTTTTTTGATCTTTTTGAGACAGGGTCTTGCTACGTAGTTCAGGCTGGCCTTGAGCTCACTTTGTAGCCCAGGCTGGCCTCCAACCCGCAACTATCCTCCTGCCTCAGTCTCCCGAGTGCTGGGCTTACAGGTGTGCCACCATGCCCAGTTAGATCTTTTCTGAAGTGGTTGATTTTTTTAATCTCTTTTTTGTGCTAAGTATCGAACTCGGGGTCTTGTGTTTGCCAGGCAGGCACTGTGCCGTGGAGCTATATCCCTGACCCTCATTTATGTGTATGTATTATCTTGCTTAACTCAGTTTATTATTCTGTGAGCTTATTGAATATTTCATTGTTAAAATTCTTTCTGTTTAAGTCCTCTTTGAACTCATTAAATATCTTAATTTCGTACATGTTTCTTTTTATCTCTTCAGATATTTTGATTGTTTGGTTTTTATGTTTTTTGCCTATAGCTTCTGCTAACTTCAGTCTGAGTTTGGCTTTTTGAGAGTTAAGGGATTGGGAAGCATTTTGTTGCCTTGCTTTTTCATATTTCTATTGTTTTTGAACTGTGGGTTGAAGGTCTGTTTGGGTGGAGAAACTGTCACTACTGTGGAGATCTCTTTAGAGTCAGTCTCCTTGTGATGTGTCCTTGGGTTTGGTTGTATTTTGGTGTTTATATCCCTCGTCATTCTATTCGGTATAATGTTCAAGGGTCTTTTAGTGTTCCACCTTCTTTTGGGGGCTTGGTCCCCAGCACCACTCAGAGGAAAAAAAAAATTCAAAAATGTTGACAACACAGAAATAAACCAGATATTGGTATACAGTAAAAAACCAATTAAAAGAGCCGGGTGTGGTGGCACATGCCTGTAATCCCAGCACTTGGGAGGCTGAGGCAGGAGGATCGCTGTGAGTTTGAGACCAGCCTGGGCTACAAATGATTTCAAGGCCAGCCTGAGCTGCATAGTGAAACCCTGTCTCAAAAAGACTAAATAAATAAATAAAAGCAACAGTTATGCCACCATTAACAATAGAAATCAGCTGTAGTAGTAGGGTTAAAGGCAAGTTGATACTGACATGCTGTAAGAACCACTAGCAACTAATACACCTGTTTTTGTTTGTTTGTGTTATTGCTTAAAGATAGGGTCACACTGTGTAGTCCAGGTTGGTGTAGAACTTGGGGCAGTCCTGCCTGAGCTTCCCAAGTGCTGTGATTACCCGTGTGTTCCACTATGCCCAGCAGCTATACACACTAGAAAAGAGATCTATAATGATAACATGGACACAAAGACAAACCAAATACTGACATACAGTAAATACCTACTAAAAGCAACAACTGTACCGACACTAACAAAAGAAAATAATTCAGTAGTAACATTGCAAAGTAAGTAGCTAAGAATTAATAAAGCTTAATAGTAAATAATGAAGGGGTGTAGGGCAAGGGAAAAATAAAAGAAAAGGAGGATGAGAGAAAACTGAGCTAAAAGAGTGTGGTGGCACATGCCTGTAATCCCAGCACTTGGGAGGCCGAGGCAGGAGGATCACTGTGAGTTTGAGGCCAGCCTGGGTTGCCTAGTGAATTCAGGGACGTCTGAACTACATGGGGAGACCCTGTCTTTATTATTTTTTTTGTTTTTGTTTTGGTTTTTTTCCGGTACCAGGAATCGAACTCACGACCTTGCGCTTGCCAGGCAGGTGCTGTGCTGCTGAGCTAAATCCCCAGCCCCTTTTTTACTTTTATTTATTTATTTATTTTGCCTTTTTGAGACAGGGTTTCAGTATGCAGCTCAGGCTGGCCTTGGGATCACTTTGTAGCCCAGGTGGGCCTCGAGCTCACAGTGATCCTCCTGCCTCAGCCTCCCGAGTGGCGGGATTACAGGTGTGTGCCACCACGCCTGGCGAGACCCTGTCTTTAAAAAAGAAAAGAGAGAAAAAGAAAATTAGAATTAGGCAAAATAACAGAAAAACACAAAATAACATGAAGAACAAAAGATAGAAGAAAACAACAGCAAAAAAGAAGAGATGGACCAAAAAGATTGCATGTTTGGGTGAGTGGTTTTTTCCCAGAGCCTGTAATATTCGAGTTCACCAGGTATTGTGGGTGGATTGTAAGGCCTATTTTGTTTCTGCATCCATTTTTTTGCTGTGTAAATGCTGAGTCCTACCCAGTCTTTCTTCCTGGACACAGTTAGTCAGTGGCATTTGCCGTAGGGCTGCAGTCACTTCAGTGCCTTTCTACTACTGTCTGACTAGCTTTACCCTCCTGTAACTTATGAGGTGCCTCCCTTGTTCCAGAGGCCCCTCTCTTTCCGTTGTAGGATTTGACAACTATCTGAGCCTGGGTGTATCACTGATCATGTTGGCAGATGGGAAAGGCAAACACCACTGAAGCTTTGTGTTGGAAGGCGACAGTGAGAGAGGGCCAAGGAGTGCACTCAAGTTACGTCAGCACTTTCAGACTTAGCCCCCCTACCCTCAAAAAAGCCCAGACTGGCTTCTCTCCACAAAGGGCGGGATTCCTGTGTCCTTCATAACTCGAGCTCACTGTCGTTTAAACTTCTCAGGGAGTCTGTGACCCTGCCCCTTCTCTATAGCTGTTTGTTGTTGCTGTCTCCCACCAAGTCACTGATAGGGTGACGACAGAGGCCCTGAAGTATAGTTAGTTTTTCTTTTGATTACTGGAGTAGTTCAGTCTTTTTTTGTGTGTGTGTGTCTTTTTGAGACAGGGTCTTGCTATGCAGTTTAGGCTGTCCATAAGCTCATTTTGTAGCCCAGGCTGATCTTGAATTAGTAACAATTCTCCTGCCTCAGCCTCCCGAGTGCTGGGATTACCGGTGTGCGCCACCATGCACGGCTGAGTAGCTTAGTTTTAAAACAATAAATCCCTTCCCAAAATGACTTCTGAGTATATCATGCCAAGTATGGTGGACCTTGAACTGAATTTCTTCTCCAACTCTAGCATGACATGTGGAAGGAGTCACTTTCATTTTTTTTTTTTTTTGTACTAGGAATCAAACTCCGGACCTTGTGCTTGCCAGGCAGGCGCTTATGCCACTGAGCTATATCCCCGGTGCAGGAGTCACTTTCAGAATGACACTGTGTTTGCAGTTTACAATAATCTTGGGCTTTTCTTGGGGCCAGTCCTGCTGAGCCGTTGTCCTTCTCGGAGCCTTTCAGTCCTCAGCAGGCTTACTTGGTGTTTGCAGAGACAGGGTCTCACTCCTGGGACTAGGCTAGTGTGCCAGGCTGCTTTGTTTTTTTCTCTGCATTGTCTTTAGTTTCTTCAGTTTCTCTGTGGTTTCTAGTTTGCCTGTCTTGGCCTTTTCTTGATTCCTGGAGCTCTATTTGTTTTTCTCTTTGCTAAGTCATTGTTTTTCAGGTATCTTGATTCCAGGTCCTTGAGAGGCTTTCTTTTGGTCCTAGTCTTTACCATTTTTAATCTCCCCTTTGTAGGTTATATTGGCCATTTTGGTGACTGTCTTAGTTACTTTTCTTTTGTTGCTCAGACAAAGTATCAGATGCCCAAAATGTGAAGAAAGGAAAGGTTTAATTAGCTCACAGTTTGTGGAGGTTTCAGTCCGTATCAGCTGGCTCCAAGGCAGGGTGACATGGCAGAGGGGCAGCAGTTTAAGGCAGCAGAAGACAGCAAAGCAACAAGAGCAAAAGGTGGTTGGTGGTGCTGGGGAGAGCAATCCTGTCTTTCCTCCCTGATATTGTAGCCAGGCACCCCCTGCCCCCCAGATGTGGGTAGCACTTGCCATCTTTGTATGCTCCTCTTGCATAGGCTCAGGGTGTTTACAAGGTGAGAACCCTGGCCCGCTAATGAGTTGCTTAAACTTCTCAACTTCTCAAGTTGACACCATGTATCAACTTTTACAGTGACTAATAAAGGTAATATGCAATATATATGTAATATATGTATGTACATGTATGATATATGCACATACATGCATTCACATACACATTATGCCTATATGCATGCATGTGTATATATGTAAACGCATGCATATATGTACATGTGTGTATATATACATGTATGAATCATTGAAATCCTAGTGGATATATTGCAAGACTAGGCTGACTAGTATGTGTTAACATGTTTTGCAGCATAGTTGTTTCTTCAAAAGTATGCTTGGGCTCGGCATGGTAGCTCATGCCTGTGATTTCAGTATTCTGAGAGGCTAAGGCAGAAGGATGGCAAATTCAAACCCATTTTGGGTAGATTGTGAAAAGCTCAGTGTGAAATCCCTGGGTTCAATGCCAAGCGCTGCAGGAATTGAGGGAGGATGGCCATTTTTGATGTACAGTTGGACTCTCTGGGACCAAGAAGCACATCACTCTCTCCAGGTCCTTCTGGACTCGCCGCCTACCAAAGTCTAAACTCTCCAGCATAGCCTCTCAGTTTGCCACAACTTGGCCGATGCTTTCAGCCACCATTCAGTTTCATGTATACCATGTGCTACATATGCCACCATTTGTAAAAGCTACCTTGTACTTCATTCTGGTTCTTCATTATTTGCCGCCAGGATTATATTCTGTCAAACTCCTGTTCATCTTTGAAGACTCATTTCAAATACTCCTTTATGAGCCTGTCACTCATGTATTCAATCTGGAAGGAAACATTTCTTTTGTGTTCTGTTTCTGTAATGCCTCGATCCCATTTTAAGGGCACTTAGCCATATTTTTGTCCCGTATTAATGTATTCTGTGGTTTTTTTTCCTTACCACTTTGGCATCTAGGCATCTGAATTGTATTTAATACCATTAAAGCAAATTGAATTAGTCTGAGATGTAATGAGTTCTTATTTTCTCTTCCATAGATTCCATGCAACGGAAAAGCAGCTGACCGCATCCATCAGGATGGAATTCACATCCTTGTGAATATGAATGGTTATACGAAGGGTGCTCGAAATGAGCTCTTTGCTCTCAGGCCGGCTCCTATTCAGGTAACAGAATAACAATCATTCACAGTGTGTATTGGACAAAAAAGAATGTGTGTTCCCCTCTTTCCTCTGGCCAACTGATACTTGAAACATTAAAAAGTACAGTTCTCACCAAGCATGGTGGCACATGCCTATTATCCCAGCACTTGGGAGGCTGAGGCCAGAGGATTGCCGCAAGTTCTAGGTTAGCCTATGCTACATAGTGAGTTTAAGGACAGTCTTAGCTACATAGTGAGACCCTGTCTCAAAAAAAAAAAAAAGGTATAGTTCTTGAAATGGTCAGGGGTGAAGAATTTTGAGTATAGAACACAGTTCCTACAGGTGTTATTTATACAGAGAAATGCAGTTTATGGTTGGGTATAAACAGTTGCTCTGCCTTACAAGTTTGAAAAAAGTTTTAGCACTTAAAAGGTTAGTCTAAACTACTCTTTGAGGGCCGTGTGTAGTGGTGCACACCTGTAATCCTGCACTTGGGAGACTGAGACAGGACGATTGCCACAAGTCTGAGGCCAGCCTGGGCTACATAGTTCAAGGCCAGCCAGTAAACCAAAAAGAAAACAAAACAAAATATTCCTTGATTACTCTTGGCTTAAGAAGTTAATCTTCCAGCTGGGTGTAATCCTACTACTTGGTAGGGGCCTGAGGCCGAATGATGAATTCGAGGCTAGCCTGGGCAGTTTAGTGAGGACCTCAAGAAAAGAGCTTGACCTTACTTGTTTGTTTATATTCTTATTAATTTTGAAATCTTAAGCACTTTATTGAGGTGATGATTGACATTCACAAAGCTATGCCTATTTACTGTGTACAATTCAGTGAATTTAGAGTTAAGTATACTGATGAAGGTTCTTAATCAGGTTTTGGTTTTGTTTTTTGTTTTTTTTTTTT